CCCCTGGTTAGTAACCCAGCCATCCTGTATCAAAGGTTTTTCTCACCTAGGCCCAGTGTGTGGATGACTGATTCAAGCACTGACTCTATATTGGGAAGTGACTGACAAAGAATTTCTAGGTTGAAGCTTAAGTTACAAAGAACATTGAGTGGCCTTGAATCAGATGACTCCTCAACTCAAACACTCCTTACTGACAGCACTTTATAAAACACACCAAGAAAAAGTCCAACGGCTGGGTACAGTGGCTCACGCCTATAATCCTAGCACTGTGGGAGGCTGAGGTGGGCAAATCACTCAAGGTCAGGAGTTTGAAACCAGCCTAAGCAAGAGCAAGACCCGTCTCTACTAAAAATAGAAAGAAATTAATTGGCCAACTAAAAATATGTAGGGAAAAAAAAAAATTAGCTGGGCATGGTGGCACTTGCCTATAGTCCCAGCTGCTTGGGAGGCTGAGGCAGAAGGATTGCTTGAGCCCAGGAGTTTGAGATTGCTGTGAACTAAACTGATGCCATGGCACTCTAGCCCAGGCAAGAGTGAAACTCTGTCTCAAAATAAAAAGAAAAGAAAAAATCCATCTCTCTCCAGCCCTCCCCAAATTGGAAGAGCTAAAATCTAAAATCTGGTCGCTGTAGCTTTTCACTCAGATGCCAGAAGCAATCATGGAAGGTGAGCTAGATCAACCCATCGCCATCTCTACTTTTCTGAAAGACTTACTCCCCAATCCAAGGGATGAGCTGACTCAGCTCAGAGTTTACCAGTAAAACTATACTAAATTAGAAATACGATAATGTAAACCAGAGGGACAGAACTATGTATTTCATTTTTGGTCATGGAGACTGGTGCTCACCCCTACTGCTAAGCATGGGCATGGTTACAGTCACTGTTTCACAACCATGTGAAGGTATAACATGATCCCAACTATGTAAACTTGAATGTTTATAATATAACTGCTCAGCCACACTTGGCCTGATTTTCTCAAGTATCTTTGACATCACCCAATATTCAGGAGACTAGCCCAGTGATCAGTATCATAAAAATGTCAGAACTAATCAAAAGTTCATTTCTGTCAACTAGAAACTTAACTTACACCAATTTTTTTTCATTAAGTCACTACATCTTGCAAGATTTCTTTTATATTAAACCTACAGTCAACAAGTTTGTAATAAGGTATACATAATATACTTTGACCATTACAACAATGGCACAACCAGCAAATTCCATTGCCCTAAAATTTATTCCCTCAAATTGGATCTGAATTTGGCAATGTTTTAAGAAGTTTTTTGTTATTTTTCTAATAGGCTGACAAAATCTGTTCCCCACCCAGTCTGTCCCTAGATTTCAGTTGATTCAGATTATTCCAAAATATTTTGAAAGGCATTATCATGTGCTAAAACCAAATTTTCATTCACCTCTATACATATAACCTCAAGTCAGTTGAAATAATTTTGTAATTTCAAAGTTCAAAACCTAATACGCCCACTTTTAGAAATTTCCTTCACAGATCACTAGTCCTACCATGGCTCTAAGAATAACTAAGACATAATTTCGCAACAGCACAAATAATTAATACCCCTATTATGTGAAGAAAAAAACTCTAAATGAGCTCTAAACGAGTCTCTTTTTATACCAATTCTTATGGCTTTGCTGACCTAGCCAATTTTAATGGGTTCTCTTATGTTTAAGATCTGTTACTTGTGAACCGAGGCCTAGATGTTATAAAACATAGCAGTCAGTTACTATACTGAGAGTTCTCCGTAATATTAATACAACTCATTAGAGTGTAAAATTTGGTATAGGAGTTGCAACTTGGGCTCAATCAGACAAATGTAGTTCCCAAAAGTAATGGAAGATCCTCACCACAAAAAGGTAACACAGTCTTCAACTATATGCCCAAGAATGGTATTGGAGCAAGGATCTCATAAACCTGACTGACCTAAACCTGCAAAGAATATTGTGTCTTAACATCCACCAGCCTAAGGGAATAAAAAAAAAAACAATCCTCACCTGTAAGAATTTTAGAAGTTTAATGAGAAATTAAAAAAAAAATACAAATCGAAATAAGTCCATTTTCTTTAATGTTGTACAAAAAAGTATGAGTTGAACCAAAAGTAAATAAACATTATCACATTTGCTTACACCACTATCTAGTTAGTTGTTCATGTTAACTTTACTATTCAAACAATAGAAAGTAGGCAGCAATTTAGAGATCAGAAAAGAGATAAAATCAAAAGACTTTTCTACCACATTTATTCTTCTACACTGTGTACAGCTGTGCTCACAGAGACGGCTTCTTTGACTTCTCCATTGTGTAGGAATTCAGTTGTATATAAAATTGAACCTGAATTTTAAAAAGAATAATACCTTTATTAGAAACAGTATTATTTACATAGTTTCCACTTTAGTTAATCAGGAAATTGATCTAGATGTTTCTACCCTCCCTTGACATGTTTGGCATTTTCTACACCAAGACACAATTTTCTCTTACCAGGCCACACCACTTATGCATCAAAAAAGTGTTGTTGAATATTTATCATTTTTAAAAAATTAAGAGTGTAAATCTGATTATCTACTAATAAGTTCTTTGAAGGTAGGAAAAGTTTTTACACATCCTTGTATTCTGACTACCCAGCACAGTTCCTGTACCTAACAGATAGATATTTAAATAAATGGGCCAGGCACAGTGGCTCATGCCTAAAATTCTATCACTTTCGGAGGCTGAGGCAGGAGGATTGTTTTAGGCCAGGAGCTCAAGACCAGCCCAAGCAACAGTCTCTATAAAAAAATAGAAAAAACAGCCCAGCGTGGTGGCATGCATCTGTAGCTACTTGGGAAGCTGAGACAGGAGGATCACTTGAGCCCAAGAGATTGAGGTTGCAGTGAGCTATGATGGCACCACTGCACTCCAGCCTGGGTGACAGACCCTGTCTATGAATGAATCAATCAATAAATAATATGACTTTTTCCCACACACTATACTTCAACTTATAACCTATAGGAGGCCAAAGAAGAGCAGCAAATGATGAAGTTTGATTAATGACAAAGTACCAAGACCAATTTCATACTTAACCAAGCTTTCATAAAAAGACAAAATCACTACGGAAATTGTTTTTATTTTTGTAGAGACAGGGTCTTTTTTTGTAGAGACAGGCTCTATCACCCAGGCTGGAAAGCAGCAGCGTTATCATAGCTTATTGTATCATTGAATTCCTAGGCTTAAGCAATCCTCTCACCTCAGCCTCCTAAGTAGTAAGGACTACATACACACACCATTACATCTGGCTAATTTTTTTTTTTTGAACGCGGCGTAAGGCCTACCTGACACGCCAAACACGATTCCCAGGACTTATCTCCGTTGTAACTACACAGCGGCCATTTCCCGACTCGAGAACAAGAGGAAAACCATAGAGGTAATTTTTTTTTTTTCTCATAGAGACAGGGTCTCACTATGTTGCCCCAGCTGGTCTTAAACTCCTAGCCTCAAGTGATCCACCTCCTCAGCATTCCAAAGTGCTAGGATTACAGGCGTGAGCCATTGCACCTGGCCTGGAAATGTTTTTTGTTTTTTTTTTTTTCTTTTGAGACAGAGTCTCACTTTGTTGCTCGGGCTACAGTGAGTGCTGTGGCATCAGCCTAACACACAGCAACCTCAAACTCCTGGGCTCAAGTGATCCTCCTGCCTCAGCTTCCTGAGCAGCTGGGACTATTGGCGTGAGTCAGCATGCCTAGCTAATTTTTCGTTTCTATTTTTAGTTGACTGGCTAATTTTTTTCCTATTTTAGTAGAGATGGGGTCTCACTCTTGCTCAGGCTGGTCTTGAACTCTTGATCTCAAGCGATCCCCCCACCTCGGCCTCCCAGAGTGCCAGGATTACAGGCGTGAGCCACTGGGCCTGGCCTGGAATTTTTAAGCTAACACTTATTAAGTATTTACCAGTTGCCTGCCACTGTTCTAAGCATTATATAAGCATTATTTCACTTGGTTCTCACAATCCTATGAAGTAGGGACTTCTATTCCAATTTACAAATGAAGAAACAGGCAAATAAGGTATATCGTTTGTCCAAGGTCACCCTCTGCCAGCAAGTACTGAAGATGGGATTCAAACCCAAACACTACAGAATCTACATTCTTAACCACCATGTTATTCTGCAATTCCTATCTATGGCTGGCTGTAAAGGGCTCAACTTCTTAAAAAATGAATTTTTCATCACTATCTGCCTAAAATTTCAAACTCCATGTAAAACTGGGGACCTAATCCCATATGCCCCAATTTGGGCCTAAATACTGTAAGTTTCAAAATGGAAAGAGAATAAATTACACCAAAGAGATTCAGTTCTCTACATTTTTATATAGACAACTCCCCTCATATTTACACATTATTGACTATTATTTTATTGTCTCTTCTTTGAATAAAGACTACAACCTTAACTGTAGAGAATATCAGATTTGGGAAAAAGCACTCACACAAATACCAGAACATCATGCCCCAACTTAGAGTCTGGAGACACTTTTAGTCAGTCATATTTGATATATGGCTTACACACAAAAGTCTATACAGTCTTAGCTTCCTTAAAGACCAAAATGCATGAACTATACCTTTTCAAGTAGCTCAGAATATTCCAAAACTGACAATTTAAATGAATGAACCACAAATTGTTTAAACTTTCCATACCTGCTCAACAGCTGAGGGAGACTAGAAATGATGGGTCCATATCCTGGTGCATTGTCATACAATTCAAACAATGGTGCGGCTACCAACTTGTAATTTTTAGGAACTGCAAATAAGGCTAAAATAAATAAAACAGTATTCATTTTCTATAATCTCTTATATAACCTTTGCTTCTGTTTCATTTTTAAATTAATCACCAGTTTTACATTTGAGAAAAACCTTTAAATAAAAGCATAATTCTCATTAATACTTTTTGGTTGTCTCTTTTAAGCTATAGTTCATAGTCACACATTTTAAAATAAATGATTCTCTAAAGAAATCGATACTTATTAACAACCAACCTTATAACTGCTGGCCATGGGAGAAAGGGGAAAAGAGAATAGCCTTGGGTTTATAATTCATTTTGGATTCCATTATAAAACTATTATAAGAAATGGAATAATTACTTGTTAAAGCATAATAGCATTACAGGCCTAAAAATGGTTGTTTCTTTTTTACTTGTTTGTTTGTTTTTTTAAATCAAATCTGTCTCAAAGTTTTCGGCAGCTTATCATGATGCATACAAACATAATGAGTGAATGTGCAACGTTTGGGGGATGGTCACACTTGAAGCTCTGACTCGAGGGGGGAGGAGGGAAGGGCAATATACGTAACCTTAACATTTGTACCCTTATAATATGCTGTAATAAAAAAAAATGGGGAAAAAAGTATCAGTAACTGAACAATTATTACAAATACCATAATATTATATTTTAAGCTCTAAATTTTCTTTTCTACTCATAGCATGGCAGGCACATCTAAGAGAAACTAGGTTGCTCTGTATAAACATGGTATGTATTTTTAGTTACAATAAATCCCAAAATCCAAGTAACTTGGAGAAAACACAAAGAGATATCCTTGAAATTATTCTACAGAAGTTTTATTTATTATTTATTTGTTTGTTTGTTTGTTTATTTATTTTGAGTCAGACTCTCACTCTGTTGCCCAGGCAAGAGTGCCATGGCATCAACCTAGCTCACAGCAACCTGAAACTCCTGGGCTTAAGCAATCCTCCTGCCTCAGCCTCCCGAGTAGCTTGGGCCTACAGGCATGCGCCACCATGCCCGGCTAATGTTTTGTGTAAATATATTTTAGTTGGTCAATTAATTTCTTTCTGTTTTTAGTAGAGACAGGGTCTCGCTCTGGCTCAGACTGGTTTTGAACTCCTGACCTCAAGCGATCCACCTGCCTCGGCCTCCCAGAGTGCTAGGATTACAGGCATGAGCCACCGCGCCCGGCCTATAGAAGTTTTTAGATGATTGCCTTCAAAAGCAAAATAACTTACCTTTTTCTTGAAGCTGAACCAGAAATAACTTCTTATGTTCCTTAGGCTTTGTAATATGTGCAGGAATATATGGATACTAAAATAACAAATGATAACAATTTGTAATTTCCAAGACCCACCATCTCTTATACTGTCATGTCTTTATAATTATCAACTTCTCCCATTTCAGACATTAAGCTCAACTATCAACCCTTCTGGGATCAAGTTCCTTATATCCCGAATACAATTTTAACCTGTATTCCATGGCTTTATTTATTTCTTTACATATTTACCCCCCAGTACAGTATAAACTGCTAGGTGAAGTATACTACTTTCTAGTCTTCCCTTTACTAGGACTTAGTATCTAACAGATGCAATAGTAAATAAATGTTTCAATACATATAAAATAGTAAGTAGTAAACTACTTAACCACTCAAGATAATTAAATATGTAGTCACAGGATTTATAGCTTGAGAAACTTACAACCAATGAAGTCTAATTTTAATTAGTGTTTTCAATAAAAGTTGGTTTTTTAAAAAAAATATAATCACTAAGTTAACACTCTAGAATTGAGATGTGGGGATGTTTACTACATTTAAACTTTAAATAGGGCCTATGAGGTATTTGAAAAGTTACTTCTTGTTCCTTCCCCCTCTTACCTACAACATCCCCCACCCCAACCCCCATCCCCATGGTGCATGCTTCAGGAAGACCACATGAGCAGGCTAAGTGGCGTTTTGCCAGCTGGGCAAAGCTGAATTGCTTGAAAAAAACTAAGAAAATAAATTAGAGAATTTAAAAGGATGAAGAATATTAGAGAGGAGAGTTACTACTATAGAATAAAAAATTTTGACAAAGAACAAAATAAATCTAAGATAGGAATTTTTTAAATTCAATTGTATGTTACAAAACCCTCTCTTGCTTCTCTCCACAATACATTCAGAAATCTACTTTTGCTTTTGGAGTTGTATTTGAGGGCCAGGGAATTAAAAATTGCTGAAAACAGATATAAGGGGAAAGTGGGATAAAAGTAGAGGCTGCCAAAAGGAGGTATTATCACCATCCCCAATTTACATAGGAACTTATGCTAAGAGAGGCTAAGTATCTCTCCCAAGATTACTCAGCTAAGGAGTGAAGCCAAGATTCAACTGTATCTTTTCAACTCTTATCTAATTATAAAAGCCTATGTTATTTCCCACTATGTTACTCATTGGCACCTAACCAGTATTCAAGTTAGAATAATTATATACCAGAACCATCCCTAGAGTACAATGAATTGAGGCAATCGTCCCAGGCATGGAGGTCCCCTACACTATCATGAAAATCAGACATATTACCAGCATCAGAGACAAAAGTGAGAAGTGGCTTGAATAGCACAGGCTAAGAGACCTGCAGTTCATATTCAACAAAAGTTCTCAAACCATTACCAAAGTAAATGACATTACCCCAATTTTCTTCTATGCAAGGCTACATGTTCCGGTTTTTAACCACTTCGGTACCGCGCTCACCAGCCTCGAAACCTTGCCCACAGCCAGCACTCATAGTCCACACGATAGCTTGTGCTGTACATTGACGACGAATCCGTTTTGCTCTTGTGTGATGAGGAAAGCTTTCAAGCACTGAAAGCTTGTTTTACTTTACAGGCAGCTTTACTTGTAATATAAATCAGAATAGGTAACATATACATACATGTTTTCATTACATTATTTTTAAATGTTCACAATATTATTTTGATAAATGAAAAATTAGGAAAGTTATATCATGGCTGTCAGCTAAAGTCGATGCTCGGCTGTGTGCCCTCTTATCACGGCTGTCGGCTAAGGTCGACGCTGGGCTGTGCGCGTTCATCTGTGGCTACAGTCCACGCTGGTACCGAAGTGGTTAAGCCTTATTCTTCAGTCCTGGTCTTAATGTTTAAACCAACTGCACTTTATACAAAAAGGTTGAGATACAGAAATGCTGTTGAGTTCTTTCCCCACTGACACCTAACCAATACTCTAGAACGGGTTTACTAATAAACACACAATCCTTATATTATACTTGATACTACCAAGTCAACCCTAGTTTCAGTGAACTAAGGGAATTGTCCTAGGACTGTGGTCGGGAAGATGAATGAAGGTATTCAGAAAAGTAGTCTGGAAAACGTTTGGGTTATTACTGAGCATTTTCCAATTAGATCAAGGAATGTTTAAGACACCAGAAAAAGTTTAGAATAATTGCTCTATGTATCTTTGAACCAAGAACTTCACTATTTCTACATGAAACTGTACTTTCTTAAAGCCAAAACCCAGACGTTTTCAAGGAAATTCTCTGGTAGTGAACACTAGCGCCAGCTTCCACAGCCCCTCATCTTTCTATCCCTCTGCTATATGAGAGAATCAGAAGAGGACAGAATGATATTCTGCTTGGCAACAACTGACCTGGAACATCTTATTATGCAAAGAAGCTATGGCTTTTGATTTGTCAAAAGAATTCAGGATCCAACTTTAAGAAGTTCTCCCATTAGCCAAAATAGGAAAATTTGAACACCAGTAACATTATCAATTATCACAATGAGTTAAAAGATATCGTATATATTTAAATCCACAAGGTCATACTGACACCTTGAAGGTCACTGAAACAGCTGTTTTTTGCATGTGGCCCACACCACAGCACCTCATCCCACCTCAGATTTCAGGGCAGCTGTGTTTGAAAAGCATCAAAAAGTTCCCTGTTTGCTGCCACTGTTCCACTCTGCTTTTCAGCCTCCAAGTTTTTCCAAAGCCTGGAAAGTCTCTCAACAAGGGCTCAGAATCAACATGCAAGTGCAAGGGAGTTAAAGCAACCCTCACCCAAGGGGAGGATAGGAGCCCCTGGCCTTCTGATTTTCTGGACAGTTCTGAGGTGCATTCCACATGGTTCCTGACAGTCCTTAGCAGCATTAATCCAGTGGCCCACAGGTAGTCTTTCTCTCCCTTCACTCTGCTGCTTCCTGGGATCACTTCCCAAACAAATTATCTGCACCCAAGTCTGTCTTATTCTCTCTTTTGAATAAAGTCAAGTCTTTGGCAGATACTAAGGAATTAACTCATTTTTCTGAAAACTGCTAAGTAAAGGAAAAGCAGCAACTATTCTTTTACAAAATATATACTTCAGGGTAACCAAGTAGTTGACAACAGAAATCTCTCTTTATGTAAGGATCATAACCCTAATGAATTCATAGATCCAGGAAATTGTTACCAATGAGCTAACATTACAAAGAAACAACCAAATACCATCAAATTCCTTATAGAACCACAAACAGTAGACTGCCTCCACAATGACCCCAATGATCCTGATGTCTCCTGATGGTCACATCTTTGTACAGTCCCTTCCCACAATGTACTAGGGTGGGCTTGCTTGTCCGACAGCATATAGCAGAAGTGATGGTATACCAATGCCAAGATTAGGTTATAACTGGCTGTCTGCCAGAACCTGCAGCCTCAAGGCCACATGTGGCCCTCCAGATCCCCAAGTGCAGCCCCTCAACCAAATCCAAATTTTACAGAACAATTATTGCAAGGGTTTGTTCTGTAAAATTCCAATTCAGTCAAAAGGCCACACTCAAGGACCCAGAAGGCAACATGTGGCCCCAAGGCGGCAGGTTCCCCACCCCTTGGGTCAACAGTCAGCAAAAGCTGAAGCCTTCGGTCCAAGAGCCCAAGACGAATTGAAAAGTCACACCTGTGTGACCTTGGGATCAGACCCTTCAGCCCCAGTTCAGCCTTATGATGTAGTCCCAGCTGACAACTTGATTATAACTTCATGAGAGACCTTGAGTCAGAATCATCTAGCTGAGAAGCTCCCAGATGCCTGATCCGAGAAACTGAGGTAATAAATGTCTGTTGTTTTAGGCAGCTAGATTTTGAGGTAATTTGTTATGAAGCAACAGATAAGTAATATACCACCTATGACAAGCCTTATTACCTGTCCCTCACCCCCAAATTAACTGAGATGGAATTCACTCTCTAGATCTATTAACTTCCAAGACACAAAGGAGAAAGAGCTATATGTTCAATGACAACTGGGGGACGTAATCAACAATGGAAATACTGAAAACTTTAGCTTGTTTTCATTAACAAATAAATTACAAGGGAAAAAAGACAGGTGACCAACCTGTAGATGTAAAAGAGACTTAGGAGACTACCCTAATTCAAACTAATTATACTTAAAATGATATCTAGGATTTCCTTCAAAATAATTCATTGTGAGGGCAAGGGAATGGGGCAGTGGAAGGAGAGGGTTGATGAAACAAGTTTGACCATGAGTTGCTAATTATTAAAGGTGGATGACAGCTGGTGGGATTCATTTACTTTTACTATTCTCTCTACTTCTGTATGTGTTTGAAATTTTGCTTTAAAATAGAAAGTGCTTGGCTTTTTAATTTTATAATCTAAATTAACAAGGGAAGGAAATTTCAAATCAAATTCTATTTTGATTTTTCAAAAGTGGCTGAAATTAAATCAGCTTTCTGTTTCCCAAATGCCCAAAAAGATAACTGAATACTGACCTGAGGAGGTTCAAAATTTGGTCTCCACCAGTTACCAATGCAGTCATCAATGACCCAGTCTTGCAGAACTCCATCTTGACGACCCAGTATCTGTCAAAAAGAAATAACATAGCCAATAAACAACTAAATATACATACTCATGAATACCCTTCTTCAGTGAAGAGAATATTCTTGGCAGCATTCCTAACAGAGACATATGGCTAATGTGCCTTCCATACAGATGTCCTCTCTGTGAGTTCTTGTTTATTATTATGTATGTTACCCTGCCCAAGATATACAGTATTCCTTCAAAGCAGGCACTCTAGTATCAACATAATTATATAGGACCAACAAATCCGATGGTATGCCCTGGCTACACATGGAAAACCAAAGGTGATCTAGTTACATACATCAGCCTATGGCATATGGTATTTTCCTAGAATTAACTATACCTTTGGTAAATCACCTACCTAACCAAGTTAAAGATATGTGTTAAAAATTCACAATTTTCATTTTTATTAATCTGTATAGCATAACATTAAACTTAAATAGTTCTATAAGGTGAGAAGGAGCAGTTCTTTGTCCTACATCACCCATTCCCACTGGCTATAACTTCCAACTCTTAGTTGTTTTTTCCCCAATACTTACCTTTATTTTTAAAAGCATCCTTTTTTTTTTTTGAGACAGAGTCTCACTCTGTTACCCAGGCTAGAGTGCTGTGGCGTCAGCCTACCTCACAGCAACCTCAAACTTCTGGGCTCCAGCAATCCTCCTGCCTTAGCCTCCCGAGTAGCTGGGACTACACAGGCATGCGCCACCATGCCCAGCTAATTTCTTCTATATATTTTTAGTTGGCCAATTAATTTCTATTTTTAGGAGAGACAGGGTCTCGCTTTTGCTCAGGCTGGCCTTGAACTCCTGACCTTAAGTGATCCTCCCGCCTCAGCCTTCCAGAGTGCTAGAATTACAGGCATGAGCCACCACGCCTGACCTATAAAGTTATATTTTTAAAAAGATTCTTTTATGATCATTTCTTGATTACTTTTCATTTTTAAAATCCTTAAAAAAACTATTATCACCCTCTACTGTGGTTGAGATTTAGATATTAAAACCACAACCCCCATTCATACTTTTTCTTCTACTATCCTCCCATCATCAATATTTAAGTCAATATTCAGTACTAAAGTTAACATGAGTAGATAAATCAGTCACAACAGAGCAATCAGTAAACTCTAATTACATTTCCTAACTTGTCAACTATTCTTTTCTTTAGAGTTGATAACTGTTTCTTTTCCTTTGCTATCACTAAATTCATTCCCACAGTCTCCAAGAGAACTTAAATTTCTTCTCAATTCAAACATCAATTATTCTATCAATCTCATTTTTCTCTAGGACACATTCAGCTACCATCATGCCGCAATCTGTACTAGATGCTCTCAGCACTGCTTCACAGCTGGAGTCCTAGGGTTTCCCTTGACCTCTCTTCTATGTTGTTAGAGCCTAATATTCTGAATTCTGTATCTTCTTTCTTCTTTTACTCCTTCATTTTGGTGGTTAACACCCACTAGTAGCTTTCTGAGAAAAAGGTACAAACGATACCATTTTTGGAAACTCTGCATGTCTGGAAATAACTTTATTTTACCCACACAGCTGATACATAGTCTGGTTAGACAGAAAATTCTAGGATGGAAATCATATTCTCCCAGAATTATTAAGACGTGCTCTACGATTATTTAGCTTCCAGTATTATTTCTGGGTAGCCATTTTTTATTCTGATGCTTTATATTTAACCTGCTTACTGCCCCATCTCCTTTGTATTTTCTTTTTATCCTTACTGACCTAAAATTTCACAATGATAATGACTTTGCATAGATCCTTAAACATTCATTATGGAGAACAGGCCAGTAGGTCTTTTCAATTTCAAAACTTGCCCTTTAGGTTTGGGAAATTTTCTGTAATTATGGTTTGCTAATTCCTCTTTTTTCTCTATTTATCTATAGTTTATATTGGTCTTTCTAGAATTATCCACTAATTTTATCTCTTCTCACCAACATTCTTACTTTTATTTCAACAGAAAGTAGAATGAAAAGCTACCTTTCAGTCCTCTACTGAATTTTTCATTTCTGCCAACTCTTTTTATTACTCATGAGGCTTCTGTTGACTAAAAAGTTTTTTTTAATGGCAACTTGTTTCTTGGGTGCAAAATTTCCCCTTATTACACCAAGAATATTAAACATATTAATCATAGTTTGTCAATAGTTGAATTTCTGTTTCTATTGAGCTCCTTTTGCTTTTTTTTAATTTCTTTCTTGTTAAGAAGCTTTCCCTAAAAGCCTGGTGATATTTGGTTATCTGATCACAAGGGTAAAACAGTAAGATGCTTAATTGTCACCTGTGTGTCATGAGCTATAGGGCTATGCTATTTCTTTAGGAAGACTCCTGCTATAGTCGAATGTGGTTTGTCCCCACCCAAACTCACACTGAAATTTGATCCCAATGTGGCAGTGATGGGAGGTGGGACTTAGTGGGAGGTGTGTGGGTCATGGGAGCAGATCTCTAAGGAATCAATGAATACCTTCCCTGGAGAGCACAGTTGTTAAAGAGTGTGGCTTCCTCAGATTCTCTCTCTTGCTTCCTCTCCAGCCACATGATCTCTTTACATAAGCCAACTCTCATTCTACCGTCACAAATGGAAGAAGGATGAGACCAGATACAGCTGCCCAATATTGAATTTTCCAGCCACCAGAATCATGAGCCAAATAAACCTCTTTTCTTTATAGATTACCCAGCCTTGGGTATTCTGTTATAGCAACATTAAATGGATTAAGACAATTTCCAAATAGCACCATCCGGAGTTTCTCTTGGACTGGTCAGTTTCTCCAGAAACAAAATCTCCAACCCTCTGCCTTGGGTGTGTAAGCCTAATTGTTAACATTCTGTTAGCCTAGTAGAAGTTCAGGAGTCTCAGCCAGGCATGGTGGCTCACACCTATAATCCCAGCATTTTGGGAGGCTGAGGCAAGAGGATTGTTTGAGCCTAGGAGTACAAGACTAGCCTGGACAACACAGCAAGACTCCTTCTCTTTAAAAAAAAATAAATAAAAAAAAAATAGAGCATGATGGTATGTGCCTGTAGTCCCAGGCTGAGGTGGGAGGATCACTTGAGTCCAAGCGTTCCAGGCTGCAATAAGCTATGATCACACCACTGCATTCCAGCCTGGGCAACAGAGTGAGATCCTATCTCTTTAAAAAAAAAAAAAAAGTCCAGGAGTCTTACTATTCACGATAGAAATTTTCACTTATTCTCCCCCCCTAACTTTTTCACTACTAGGTGTTTTCTGATTCAATCGCTACAGAGAATCATCACCAGCCAGTCTCTGTTTTCTGATTCAATTGCTACAGAGAATCACCAGCCACTCCTAACTAGAGTGGGGAAGACAATCTAGGTACACAGGTTGAGCATCCAAAATCTGAAACTTCTTAAGCACTGACATGCATGATGCTCAAAGGAAATGCTCATTGGAGCATTTGGAATTTTGGTTTTGGGACGCTCAACCAGTAAGTATAATGCAAATATTCCAAAATCCATAAAAATCCAAAATCCAAATCCCTCTGGTCCCAAGCATTTTGGATAAAGAATACTCAACCTGTATAAATACGTCCTATATAGACTTTGAACCAGTACAGTTTTCAGCCCATGCATGTCCCCACTTTCATAGGTATCTAGCACCTCCAATTCCTCAGCCTGTCTGGTATTCTACAGTGCTAGATTCTGGACTGCTTTCCTGATGTGCTAAGGTTTATGCTAAGTTGGTTATAATTTTCCCATCTGCTTTTCAGCTTCCAAATTTTTTTTTCTTGCTACCGTCTCATTTTGAACTCCCTCAATCTTACTGAATTTGTATCTTTTTAAAGATACCCCTTTACTGCCTTTTTGGTGGGGGTTTGAAGAAGAGTGAAGATAAGCAAGCAGGTTCGATCTACCACATGTAAACTTAAGGAGTTACAATGCATTTTTTAAAAATACCTCACAGAGAAACCAATAGGTCCACAGTGATAGAATTACAGGTAATTTTAGTTTTGTTTCTCCTCTGCTCTTCTGTTTTTGCCAATGTTTTTGCAGAGCATGTTTTAGTTTTATAATTAAGGAGGGTAGACTGCATGTTAAAAAAGAAAACTAATAATGAAAACAATTTGTGATCTAAAAAGCTTCTAGTATCTATGCATTTGGCCCTAAATCTTCAGAGACAAATGTCAGAATGATTTTTAAAAAGTAGCCGGGCGTGGTGGCTCACGCCTGTAATCCTAGCACTTTGGGAGGCCAAGGCGGGCGGATTGCTCAAGGTCAGGAGTTCAAAACCAGCCTGAGCGAGACCCTGTCTCTACCAAAAATAGAAATAAATTAATTGACCAACTAAAAATATATATACAAAAAATTAGCCGGGCATGGTGGTGCATGCCTGTAGTCCCAGCTACTCGGGAGGCTGAGACAGTAGGATCGCTGAGCCCCGGAGATTGAGGTTGCTGTGAGCCAGGCTGACGCCACGGCACTCACTCTAGCCTGGGCAACAAAGTGAGACTCTGTCTCAAAAAAAAAAAAAAAAAAAAAAAAAAAAAAAGTAGCACAATCTGGGCAAAGTCTCAAAGATACTTACAAAAATGAAAATAAGCATATAACAGGAATTTTTTTCTCATTAAAATTCTATAGAGGCCCATTCTAGAACACAACTACCTGCATTCAAATCTCCAGCTCCACAACACACATATAACAAGTTATTTAAACTTAATAATAATGTCTACTTCCTACAGCTGTTGTGCTTTTTAAAAAGTAACTGCATATAAAGCACTTAGAATAGTGTCTATCTAACACAGAAAGTACTCAATAGTTTTTATCTACCACTGTAACACATTTCAATTTAAAAAATGTTAAGATAAACTAAGTTTAACTTGCAAAAAATAAACATTGTACTAACATCCTGGGGCTACAGTTGTATCTACTGAAAACTAAATATTCAAAAATAAACTCATCCTTTTTACAAGACATAAAAAGCCTAATAATCTATTACGTTGATGGTATTCAGATGGGCAATAAAACTGTCAAAGTTGTTAAACAGAAAAATACCTCTGTCATTAAGCGTTTTAGTCCTTCAACTTCATCTTCTCCTGGGTTAAGTTCACCACCAGGTCTGTACAAAGGTTAAGAATTTCAGCTTTCAACTTAATACAATTTGAGGATAATAGGAAGAACACAATAATTGTTATTTCTATTAAATAACTAATTAACATACTTTGGTGTCATATAATGAGGCAATCAAAACAGATGTCAAAGGGAGGGGGAAGAAAATTCTAGAAAGGTGAATTCACAGTGTCAATTTCCCAGACTAACATTATACAAACCGTAGTATTAAACAAACAAAATATATAACATAGCATAAATATAATTGCTAGCCACCAGTCCACCCCAATCTCCTCTCTGAAAGCTATCTGGTGATAATGGAGTCTAGAAATGCCCACAGAGCAACAGACCACATTCTTTAGGCCTGAAGAATGAGACATTTTTCAAGAATTTCAATCTAAGTATTTGAGACCTTTCTTTGTGGTACAATCTGGTCAAACATTTATGGACCAAATGTTTATTGAGAGATGAGCTTAAATGATAAAACTAAACTTATCTATAAAAACATAAGTCATTTTAAGACTTTAAGACTTTAAGACTAGGAAATACTATTCATCCTAAGAAAGAAATATCAATTGTTCTTAGTAATGCTAAAATGACATCTAGACATTGATCCTGGACTAATCTATTCCATGGGCTCAATCATTAACATCAAAATACAGAAATATGCAGATTACGAGTTAGGAAAATATATGAGGACTGCAATGGAGAAAAATTACTCATTATTTTTTTCTAAAGACTCCATTAACAGCAGTGTTTGTTGAAATAAATAGCCAAGAGCTAAACTTATATTCCAAAGCTGCATAAACAGCAAACCTATTAAAAGTTGTCTTGCTGTTAATTTATAACACTTACAATTTGAAGAAAGTTGTTCCCAGCTGTAGCAGTAGCACATGGGGTAGCCGGTGCTCATGTACAATCAGAACCCCTTCTACAGTCCTCCTCATTCCAATTTTATCAAATTCCTCCCTCATGCGCTGAAATCTGGCTGCAACAGAGCTGTCCTTCTCATAGAGTGGCTCTTTTGTACCAAAAGTATAATTGGTAAGAGGGTACCTGTGATCCAAAGGCAAACATCTAACATGAGAACTGAAGACCATAATTTACCACGACAGTAAAGAAACTGTGGTTAAAAAAATAAATAAGTACATATTCTGTGCTCAGAGACACAGATCTATACAAAGTTACATAACTAATGAAACAGCAGAGATTAGAGTCCTATTCTCTGGACTCTTAAAACCAGACTTTACATCAGATCAAGCTGCTACTCCACAATAACTTTCAAGTGTAGATAACACTATCATTAAGGCCCTTAAACTCTTAAAGAGAAGTGGTTATCTGGATATCAGTAACCCTCTGGTTTTAGATCATGGCTGCTATTCCAACATTACCAACCTGGCTAATGTCCCCTTGGGTTCCTTTGACTACCAATCTGATCAGAAATTTTACTGATTATGGGTACTAATGGCTAATCTTTTTTTCTATAAACTAAGCCACTACTTTCCATCAACATTCCTCCAGTTATTTTCTACTGTTCCTAGTCAATTATCCCAAGATTTTTCTGGCACCACAACTCTTTCCTTTTCAGATCAAATTTTATACATTTTCTCCCCTTCTAAACCTAAGATGCCTTTTTGGCCTTCAGCATTAATTGTATTCAGTATCCTTATCTTCCCTTCTCATTCACATCTTCTACCCTCCATAGCTAATCGGAACATCCTCTTTTCCTTTATAAAATTCAAAATATAGCTCATACTGTTGAAGACAGTTTTCATCTTGCCCAGTAAAAATCAAATATTTCTTTAAAGATCGTTAAAAATTCCATATTTATATTTTGTAACACCTTAATTATAAATCTTACATTAAGAAGCCTTTGATTAAACGCTTTGGCCACACTTGCCTATTCGCAAGGTATCTATTCTAAAGCTCCTGATTAACAGTCAACCACTACGTATCTTACCCACTCACAGCTATTCTTGAAAAGAGAATAAATATAAAGACTGCCAAAACTTTAAATTCTAGAAGCCAAATTCTAGACCTAAATGAAGCAGCTCTAAAATAACTATAATATACCATTTCCATCCAGGATGCTTTAAAGATTGTAAAGAACTTCCCCAATAGACCCGATGCTATACCTAATACCATCATGTGAGCAGCAGCAGTTATGTCACACAACACTATATGCCTGGCAATTTTTTATTACATATATTAACATTTAGTTCTGACAACCTGAGTTAGAAAGAATTAATGATAGCCGTTATACATTTCTACTGCAAGAGCTAGCTCTAATATCAGTAAGGAGGTATCAAGACAAAATGTCAGAATTTTAAGCTGTGAAATCAGAGTAGCAGCCCAGATCTATATATTATTCTTATGCTGTGAGCTTCATAAGGCAGGGTCTACATCTTATGTCCTCACCACCGTATACCTAGTATTATGCACAGTGCCTGGTAGAAAGTAGGTGTTCATGCAATATTTCCTAAAAGAAAATATATCGGGAAAGAGATTTGTTTTCAATTTAATAACTGAAGTTCACAATACAATGATTATTTCTAAATACTGTATTTATATAGACTAGAAAATGTACTGTAAATCAAACATCACTTTAATACAGCAAATATTAAAGCATTTTGCTGAAAGCATAACTATTTCACCAAGTTAATTCTACATAATGGCTATGCAAATTAATCAAGTAATCAAGGCAAAACAAGAATAACTGTGGGTGTTAGTTTTGATTACCACAGAAAGTAATCCAGAAGCTGTGCATTCACTTTTTAAAAGGAAAATATTTGCCTTTTCCATTTGATGGGAATCTAATGAAGATTTTTTTTAAAAGTGGTATGAAATTAAAATGCAACTACGTTAATGTAATACTGTAGCTACAGGGATTAATTTATAAACAACACAATTGTTAACTAATTCCATATTTTATAAACCCAACATTTTATTATCTAAATTTCCAAGCCAGCACCTATTTTGCAAAACAAAGCAACAGTGATAATACACATCTTTTCAATTTCAAATCACTTTTGGTTTTGAGGAAGAAAAAGTTCATTTATTTGAATGTAAAACAGAGAAACACCTAAAGTATCATATCCAAACACCAATAAAAGCAAACCTTTGCACTCTGTTAACACTGATGGGCATCAACTGGCCACTTTCGTTCATCAGGGTGAGCACTACGCTGTCTCAAAATCATACTCTCAGAAACGATAAAAAAAAAAAAAGCATATTGACAATTTATTGAGCAAGACACACCCCAAATGCCAATTATCTGCTACATCAATATTATTTTTGAGCACATCCTTGAAATACAATGGCTGTAAGTGCTTAAACAGAGAGGTGTCGAAAAATAAAACAGTCCACAATGGGTTCTCTGGGTCAACATTCTGGTTCCCTCAGTCTGAAAGCCCAACCATAACAGCATCCAAACTCCCAAGCTGGGGCCTACTGGGTACCTGGAATACCGTCACTGCTGCAGAGACAGGTGAATGCATAGGGTAGGAGAGATAGCCCTGAGCAGATGAATAAAACGTGATGTATTCATAAAATGAAATACTATATAGCACTTAAAAGGTTAAAACTAGACCTAGGCATTATAGATAGATCTCGAAAACTGTTAAAGTAAAAACTGCAAAAATGACACTGCGTTATAACATTCATATCAAATGAAAACACACAAAGCATACCACGTATGTGATGTGAAAGCGCATCGGACTAGAAGGATAAAAACCACATTTTTAAGTTGGTTACCTCTGCAGAGGTGGGGGAAAGCATCGAGTTCAAAGCAAACTTCAGTTTTACCCACAATGACTGAATACAGGGGAATGGGAACAAGTCCTCTCTTCAGAAAAGGAATCTAACACCGTCAAAAAAGATTCTAATCCCTTGGGGCTGGAGGACGGGAAAAGAGCCTGTGGGAGCAAGGAAGGCGCGCATCCGCAACCAGAGCGGGGCTGGTGAGGAAGGCGTAGAGCCACCGGAAAAATTAAGCGTCTTTAGGAGCGCTCGTGAGGAGAGGTATGCTGGTGAAGGACGCGCGCGAAGGCCGGGCCGCACTTACAGGTTGATGGTGCGCTCCAGGGTGAGGGGCTTGGTCTGCTGGATGTACTTGTTGCCAAACTGATTGACTCCCCGGGGCCACCCGGTCTGCGAGCGATTGGGCGGTACCACAGACATGCTGGCGAGCTCCGGCACTGGCGGCGAACAGAAAGTGGGAGGCAGGGCAGACCTTCCCGGTGCGGGCAGCGGTTATCTACAAACCGCTCAGCAGCCGCCGCCCGCCATTAACAGGAGAGCGCAAGAGGAGGCGAACGCACGCCGGAAGTGCATCCGACGCTTCTGGCGGCAGGAAGTAGAGAGGCGGTGGCCTGGCAGACCGAGGGCCATTGGACCAATCGCCGGTGAGATGGCTGCAATATCTGAAGCTTCCATTGGTAAGCGAGGCACAGGTTCCGCCTCCTCTTACTTTGGTACTTCCCATTGGGTAGCACTGGGGCACATGCGAAAGGGGCATTCTGGGGATTGTAGTCTCCTTAGGAAAGTAGCCTCTTGATCAGTGTGGCGTGGCTGTATACTTTATGAGGAGATGAGTGGGAAACGGCCAGCTGAGCCCGGCCCTGCCCGGGTGGGAAAAAAGGGAAAGAAGGAGGTGATGGCGGAGTTTTCGGCCGCTGTCACGGAGGAAACCTTGAAAAAGCAGGTGGCAGAGGCCTGGAGACGTAGGACGCCGTTCAGTCACGGTAACCGGGCTCTGTGAGGGAGCAGCCGCCGCGCAGGGGTCTGGGGCCTCTGAAGACGACCTGGGAATAGAGCCGAGCCCTAGGCTGCGGGGCCGCAGGGGAGAAGGAGGCTCTTCGAGGACTTTGGCCACCTCCGACCCCCTGTCTCGGCGGCTGCTCCCTTTCATTCCAAATTCAGTTTGAAATTAGAAACCTGAGAAGAGGAAGAAACATAGGCCGAAGAGTTTCAGGAAGTTGATAGGTGAATTCTGGAATCAGATTAGTGAGTTAGAATCCTCTCCACTGATTTTGCGTCGTTGGGCAATGGATTGAACTTCTTTAAACTTCAATTCCTTCTTAAGCAAAACGGAGTAGTTAATAGTATTTACCTCAGAAAGATGCTGAATAGGATCAATAAGTTTGCAGGCATCAAGAAATGTTTCCCTGAGTAAGGACTAATAAACATTTGGAGGCCGGGCGCGGTGGCTCATGCCTGTAATGCTAACACTATGGGAGGCCTAGGTGGGAAGATCGCTCGAGGTCAGGAGTTCCAGACCAGCCTGAACAAAAGCGAGACCCCGTCTTTACCAAAAATAGGAAAAATTAGTCGGGCATGGTGGCGCATACCTGCAGTCCCAGCTACTCGGAAGGCTGAGGCAGGAGGATCGCTTGAGCCCAGGAGTTTGAGGTTGCAGTGAGCTGTGATCACGCCATTGCACTCTACCCGGGGCGACAGAGCAAGACTCTGTCTCAAACAAAACAGAACAAAAATAAGCATGTGGACAAATATTTGAATGGCTTATGTAATTTTTCCTCTAAAGGCAATGCTCCGTTGTCCCATGGCAGTCTAGCCCAGAGCATTTCTTGTGAGCTGCCAGATATTAGGCTCCTGAGCCTACCCGTTTTTTTACATGCCTGTAGTTCAGCTAAATGACTCATGAAAATAAATGCCTTTTGACCAAGGGAAGGAACCTACATCAAACGATTCCAGCCTCAACTTCAAATATCACCTTATAATGCGTTATATGTTCCCTTCTAAAGTTTGGCCTGATTTTTGTTTTAGTCCTGAAGTGCTTTGAAGAGGTGAGTCCTGGGTGTGCTGGAGACATACAGAAAGTGATAGGTTAATGTTTAAAGTGCAAGCTCTGTGCTCTCAAGAGATTTCTCTATTTCTTCATCTGTAGGATGGGTATAGTGGTAATGTCTACCTTAGAGTTGTTGAGTAGATGAAATGAGATAATGCCTGTAAAGTACCACTGGGCCTGGCACCTGGGAGTTGGTAATTATTACAGGGGTGGTAATCTAGCCTATCAGAGGCAGTGAGTAAAATGTTGGGGTAGAAATCAAGGAATTAGAGATAGTTATGCCTGAATTGATTTTTTTTTTAAAGATATACTAATATATAGTAAATCCCTCCAAAAGTAACTTGGGAAAAGAAAAAGCAGGATTAAAGAGAAATTACCAGCCAATGTTGCTACTCTCATTTACTTTTATACTATAAGTTTGGGGAAAATGAATTAAGAATCTAAAATACATTCAATTCAATAAATAATCATTGAAACTAAAAAAAAAGAGTAGGAACATCACTAGTGACATCAACCCTAGTTTAGTGTACTCATCTTAAGGACTAGTATTTTAAACAGTATCTTTAAAAAGTAGCATTGAGTGGTTAAAGGAAGAAAGGGGAGAGCTTATAAATCTTACCCCAAATCTTAGACTTTAAGTGTTAGGTTCCCCCAAATTCATGACCGTCTCCTTTCGTATTCTTTCTGCTGTGTTACTTGGGGGTCAGAAATAAAATACAGGCAGGGCATGGTGGCTCACGCCTGTAATCCTAGCACTCCGGGAGGCTGAGGCAGGAGGATCATTCAAGGTCAGGAGTTTGAAACCAGCCTGAGCAAGAGCAAGACCCAGTCTGTACTAAAAATAGAAAGAAATTAATTGGCCAACTAAAAATATATAGGAAAAAAAAATTAGCCGGGCATGGTGGTACATGCCTGTAGTCCTAACTACTCGGGAGGCTGCGGCAGAAGTATTGCTTGAGCCCGGGAGTTTGAGGTTGCTGTGAGCTAAGCTGAGGCTACGGCACTCTAGCCCGGGCAACAGAGTGAGACTCTGTCTCAAAAAAACAAAAGAAAAGAAATAAAATACAAAAGGGGAAAAAGCCATAGTGTAATGTTTTCCTTCCAACAGAAGCCATTGTCATGGACATGGACCCCTTTCTTCACTGCCAGATCCCAAATTTCATTCAAAGCAAAGACTTCTTGGAAGAGCTTCAGAAGGAACTTTTGAACTTGGACTTCCATGAAAAGTATAATGATTTATATAAGTTCCAGCAGGTATTTATTCCCGTCACATTAGCTCTTCCACCTCAGAAATTCTTTGTCTATAAAATCACTCAATACCTTTAGAGGTTTTAAGTTGGATTTGCCTTGGAAGGGCCTCACCTTGACATTGTTAAAAGCATTCTTTCATTTAACCTAAGCTTACCGAGTGTTAACTGCTATAATTATTGTATGGGAGACTTTGACAATTCCTGCCCTGTAAGACTTTTAAAAAAATAGGATGATAATGGATGGTGACAGAGATAGTCAAGAAATAAATTAACCCAGTGAGTAAGTACATTATAAACAAAGAAGTTAAGTACATTTGAAGGAGTGATATAATGAAGAGAGTTGTACATTGGAAAATAATTACCATTTAAAATTTTGAGTTCATGTCTTTCTTTTAGGTGAATTGATGTATTACAGTATGTTCTGCATTGTAATATGTCCTGCAGAGAGTTAAATCCATTCTTTTTTTGGTGGAAAGTTTACTTATAATTTGGCAGAAAAGACTATCTTTTTAGGCTTTTCTGCTCTTAAAGATACAACCCAGTCTAGGTATAGAAATATATTAATAGGACATTGGTTTCCCCAGTTTCGGAATATATCTTTCAGTACATAGAGTACATCACTCTTAGAAATCCGTTAGAAAAACCTCAAAGATATCAGTCCTTAAAATTGCAAAAAAATAAAATAAAGACAAATTATTTTGTTTTCTTTGCATTTTCCCATTTGATTTTATCTGGGATAAGAGTAAATAACAGATTTCTCTCTCTTTTAGTCTTTTACACTAGAGCTGATCATCTGGTCATCTTGTATCCAGCCCTTCCCCAATCTGTGTGTCTTTGGACTTTATACAAATGATTGAATTAACTAGGTTAAATACGTGAATGATGTGACTCTTAATAATTCAGGAAGTATAATGAAAATTAAATTATCCATAGTAAGATTGCACAGGTTAATTAAAAACCTCAGTTATCTGCCTTTGTAATCATCAAACACTTGGCCTCTTGTTGATTTAGGGCTATATGCATCTCTGATTACTAAAATTGAGACATCAAAGTGGTTTTTACTTAATGTAATTTGGTAGATGAAAATGCTTCATTGTGAAGTACATGAGAGGCAAGATAATAAAAAGTGCTCTGGGTGTTTAAAAAAAAAAAAGGAGCAGCCATTACTTTGGATCCACATTACTTTGGATCACAGCAGTTTGGTGAAACTGCTGTGAATAATTTTTACTATGATCACTTTTGGATGGGACCTCCCACCCTAAGACAGCAGATATAAAACCTGTTCTCAGACTCCTGCCCTTTCGGTCCTCATCCATATCCTTTTTCTTTGCTTGTGGTATGTAATGACTTGATAATTGGATCTCTGACATCTTCAACCCCCCCTAACCAAGTTTGTCGTTAGTAGTTGCCCAATATTGTATATTTATTAATTCTTCATAACAACTCAAGAAAGAAGTATATTGCACTTTCTGCAAAAGAAGTATATTGCACTTTACAGGTGAGGAAACTATCAGTTTTTCCTTCCCTCTGGATCATTCCGGTTAACATACAAAATAACTGTTCTTCTCATCATAAGAAAAAGTAAAGTTCTTCACCTAACTTTCCTCTTCAGTTACCACCCTATTCTTCCGCTCCCCTTAACAGCAGAATTCCTTATAAGAGTTGTCTGTATTGTCTTAAATTCCTCTCCTCCCAGTCTCTGGTAAGCCCACTTGAATCGGGCTTTCACGTCTACATCTTCACTGAAACTATACTTGTTAAGGTCACTTGTAACCTCCACATTAGTAAATCTGATGACCAGTTTTTAGTCCTTCCTTGACCTATCAGCAGTATTTGTCCTACTATTTCACTCCTTCCTCCTGGAGACATTTTTTTCACTTTACTTTCAGGTTACCATGCTCTTGATTTTTCTTCTACCCCACTGGCTATTTTTTCTCAGTTTCCTTTGCTAGGTTTTCATCTTCTACCTGACTTCTTAATGATAGAGTACTCTAGGGCTTAATCCTTGGACCACTTCCCTATGGTACACAAATTTCCATGGAGTCTCATGGCTTTGCCTCTCCTCTTGGATCTCTAGTAAGTGTCTCACATTTAAGTCCAAGACTAAACTCCTGGTCTCCTCCCCCTAAATCTGCTCCTCTGCAGTTTTCCCCATCTCAGTTAATGGCAACCTAATGTTTCCAGTGGCTCATGCCAAAAATGAGGTCATCCTTGATTCTTCTCCTACATCTTATATCTAGTCCATTGGGAGATTCTGTCTTTACCTTCAAAATACTGGCAGGCACTGCATA